GGGCTGCCGAAATGGGGAGCTGGTCCCTTCACTTGATGTCTGGGGAACCTACTCTCAACAGTTGGCACTACATGTATTCCTGAGGCTTTTTCCCCTTTCTGTCTAGGCCTGCCTTACTCTCCCTTTCAGAACTGTGAGACATGGTTAATGTTGTTTTCAAGTGTTGTTTTCTCATACGTACCTGTCTCTGTTTTGTCAGCAAAGATCCCAGGATTAGGAGTTGTAATTACTAGTTCCAGATAAGAGATTTGAGAAACATTAGCCCACTGTTGAATCTTCGGGGTAAATATTCAAGAAAGAACAGAATTTCCAGGGGAAAAAAATGACAGCTGTTGCATGTGTGACTGACAAAGTAAAACTAAGAGCCACTCAATGAATCACCAGTATAAATGAGAGAGGAAAGAGCCTTGCAAGCTGCATGAATTTTTCAAATTCCTATGCTGTCCTGTGAACCACTGGTCCTTACAAAGTGAGAGTTCTTTTCCTCAGGTGCCTTGCCCTGAAGAAACCCATTGGACAGGTAGTCATATGCTGATCTGAGACTAGGCTGCATGGCTCCCAACAGTGTGTCACTGTGTGGGGGCAGGGTCTCTTTTTCTCAAGCTTCCTTCAGGGTGACAGTCGGTCCATCGACTTCCTGTTGCCTCTGAGTCAAGATGTAGTGAAAGACTTCAAAGTTAGCAAAGAAATATAGCCCAGATAAGGAAACTCTCCAAATGGAATGTAGGACAGCCTAATCCAGAAACTGACTAAGGCCACTACTATGACTTAGTGCCTGGAATTTACCAGCCGCCAGCAATTACTCCCTTACAAGGCCATAAGATAACTGGGTACCAAGAATTCCCAGATGGCTACCCTCCCTGAGGGGCTCATGAAGGAAACAGATTGCCCCAACGGCCAATGTGTCAATAATTAACAATGAAGGGTCCCTATGAAACAAAGAGATAGCTACCATTTGGTCAGGCAAGATTAGTTAGCATATCTGAGGTCTGCAGGTTTTACAACTGGTGGGTCAGGAGGCCATCTGATTCCCAGCCCTCTCCTCAAGACAAAGGGCCTCTTAGGAACCCTTGACTCATGGGTTCAACAGACAGAGAGTTGAGGCCCTTCCCTAAGCTTATGGGTTTTGCCTTTAAAAACACCTGTGCCTGGGGGACGGGGCTGCTCTCTAGCCTGCATGCTGAGAGAGCCCGTTTGTACAAACGTCCACCTTTCATTAAAGCCTCTTGCTGTTTGCATCAAGTTTCCGCCTCCGCATGGTGACTAGGGTGTCCGCTGTCCTGGGAAAAGATCCTGGAGGCCTGAGCTTCCAGGGGTCTAACAGTGTCAAGTTGATGAAAAACGAACTGGCACAGTTCCCTTTCATTGGAGGATCCTTGAAAATATTTTGCTCAGTGACAAGAAGGAAGACACCATAGGACATGGATTACATGATTCCAATGTATATGAAATATCCAAAAGGAAAATCCAGAGTCGTAAAGCAGACTAACAGGGGACCAAAAGGGTAGAGAGTTACTTCTCTGTGGCACAGACCATTCTATTGGTCTGGGGAGACGGTTCCCACCACACAGTGTGAGAACCTGAGTTCAGATGGGGGATGTCCTTCTGTATGCTCTGAATATATGTCTCTCTTATTGGTTGATGAATAAAGCTGTTTCAGCCAATGGACAGGCAGGATGTAGCCAGGCAGGAAGTATAGGCAGAGTTATCAGACCAGGAGAAGTCTGAGAAGAGAAACAGTGGAGAGAAAGGCACACCATGTAGCCACCAGGCAGGTAGAACACCCAGGAATTCTCCAGTAAGATAAGACCACCAGGAGATTTATAGATTAATAGAAAGGTGTTAATAATTAAGAGAGAGCTAGCCAATAAGAAGCCTGAGCCATCGGCTAGCCAGTTTATAATTAATATAAGTCTCTGTGTGTTTATTTGGGACTAAATGGCTGTGGGACTGGGCAACACAGAAACTCCATCAGCAGAGTTCAGATCCCTAGAGCCCATATAAGCTGGGCAGGGTAGCAGGTGTCTCTGATCCACGGCAGGATAGGAGATGGAAACAAGAGAATCCCTGGAAGCTTGTGGGTGAGCTGGCCTGGTGTGCACAGCAACAAAGAGACCCTGCCTCAAACAAGATGGAAGGCAAGGGCCAACACCTGAGGTTTTCTTCTGCTCCCCCCCACACACGTGTGTGTTGTGACAGGTGCACTTTCACACTCAATCGCACACACATCAAGCACACACAATTATAATAATGTATATTTGTGCCAGGTGCTCACGCCTTTTATCCCAGCCCTCGGGAGGCAGAGGTGGGCAGATCTCTGTGAGTTCGAGAGCAGTCTGGTCTACAAGAGCTAGTTCCAGGACAGCGTTCAAAGCCACAGAGAAACCCTGTCTCGAAAACCAAAACAAAACAAAACAAAACAAAAAATGTATCTATGTACATGTAGAGATCAGGGGTA